TCAGAAAACAAGCCTAAGTGGTAATGAAAATACACCTTGCATTAAACTGAGAAACATGATTACCAGTTGAACAACAAATAGGTGGGTAGAAGATAAAATATTCACACTCTGCTTGGTTGCTTCTTTTATTTTGTTCTGCCAGTTTTAACATACAAAAGCCTCCTGGTTTTTCCTATTTGTTTCACTTAATTAGCCATTCCTACAGTAACACAAATCATATTGATTTTTAGAATAATTCTGGCTTACGTTGCAACACAGCGGACCTAGTTTTCAGAGAAGGAGGTGAGCCGCAGTAATAGCTCCTGTTCGCAGGACTCGAAATTCAGAGGAAGAGGCACAGGTAAGCCTTTTGTAATCGGAACCTTCATATGATGACTTGAGATCCAAAAAGCCATTTCTTACCATCACACTCCTTTCTGTTCAGTACGTGTGCACCAAGTAGCTGACTAACAATTTGAGAGATGTGGCAGAAGTCTCTCCTTCCCATCTGGGAATTAACTTGTCCCACTAAATCCTGCTGCACCACTGCTGACATGCTGGAACACAGAAGCTCAATAAACCCGCTGTAACAACTGGCTGTGAAAGATTTCATTTTATCACTACCTTTTATCAACAGAAATTACCATTCTAGTATCAATCACGATAACTTAAGTCTATCTTTTTTTCAGGCTACATGAAGATTGACAACATGTGTCTGTGTATGTGGGGAAAGTATTTTCCTTTTTTTAAAAATAACTCTACCTAATTTCTCTGACTTGAAGAGGCCCCATAAAGGGGTAAAAGATGCTCAAGTGCCTAAACTGCTAAGCTACTACATTAGTGTAAGTTGCACATCATAAAAATTAATTTGTGTCTTTGTAAAAAGCTAACTTCTGCATTTTGGTTCACAAACATTGAAAATACTTTGTTCAATTTCTTTTTTAACAAAATGCTTAGAAGGTCCTACTACTGATATGCCATATTTGTTCATAATTGAGAACTAGAAGAAATGCAGACCAAAACTTGTAACTTTTGCCTTTCAAATAACATATTGCATTTACAGCTGTGTTTTGGTCTAAATCTCACTTGTAATAAAGTATCATTCAGCCCACCACAAACCAGTTATTTTTTCCTTTTGACAGGAATATTTGTTAATGTTACTGAAAATGCATAAGAAAAAATGCTCAGTAATATGGATCACCAAGAATAACAGCTACCAAGAATAAAAGCTAAAGCTTTAAGTTATCGATTTGCAGGTTAAAATGGGAAAGTCTATTTCGTTGCTGCTAGTATGAATACTGATTCTAATATGGCAAATGACAAGTTGAATAAATGTATATAAATATTTTTGTCTTTATTTATATATATTGCTACTGGTTTTATGAAAGAGCAGCTGAAACCAAAATACTTCTGTAACTCTACATACGCACTCATGTGATAATAATTCAGACTCTCCTGATATTTTTAATACCTCTGGGACGAGATGTCACTAAGAAGAGTAAAACGGCATTTGAACTGGTACATTTGATGCTTTGGGGGCCATGCTTAAACAGAAAGAGAAATAAATAAAAAAAAATAGCTTTATTTTTTAAACCCAGACAGTGTGAGAGGGTGAGTGCAATATAGGTGTCCCGGGCAAGCATTATAGGTGGTGCAGGTAGCGGGTTCGTGCGACTTTGACAATCTACTCCCATGAGCGGCACCATCCAAGTCCTGCACGTTATTCTGAAAAATGCAGCAGGACAGGCACCCCCTCCTTATCACACAGCTACCGCCACTTGCTTCAATCTGCATCAGCCAAAAAGTAGGAGTGTTTGTCATTCTGTTGCTATCACAGAGGAGATTAGGCAATTTGACAGTTTTTAGTTGACAGTGTAAAATAAAAGTCGTCTTTTGTACTTTTCTAAGTGACAAAGATTGTACCTTTTCTGTCATATACCTCCTGAGGGGCACGGCAGACATCGTCTGAATCTTCAGCCTTTCAGATGCTTACCTGCCACCGTCCCTTTCTCACATCAAACAAAAATTTTGTTTTGTCTCAAAAAATGATCATTTACAAAGATCGCTGATAAGGTTCTACAGGAAAAGTTAGTGACAAAACCGGACACAATTTGATTGTCCTACAATTCTCACACTTCTGATAGCCTACCAGTGCAGTAAGAGCCTTGCTATTTAGTTTCTTATTAAAGGCTCAGAACCATAAGCTTGAAACATCTCTTCTGCATATGATCCGGAGCATCATAAAGCCATTAGCAGAAAGTGATTTCAAGATGTCACCCGTTGTACTGAAATTCTCATCTGGCAGGTAATGGCTTTCAGAATCACCTACATACCGGGTCTGTATAAAGAGATGCTCATGCTCCCCAATTTTGTATTTGTGATTCTTTGGTAAAGATGCCAACTCCTGATACTTATTATGACACATTTGGATACGGATGCCAATTGCATTTTTCTATACTTGGATGAAGTTTTCTAGGATCATTCTGGGGAAAGCAATTTTGACCCAAGAATCGAATGCTGAAAGCCACAGAAGTAAGAGACCATGCACATCAGCACAACACAGTAATTACTTAGCTATTTTCTTGTTTTCTTTTTACGTGATTTGGCAGGATATTATTCTAAACCTGTGGAGTTCAGGAAATAGCATGTACTCTATTCCATTCAGTAAATAACTGAAAACAAACCAACAGGAACTATGACAATTTTAAATCCTTAAACAAAACCCATGAAGCAGAATTTCAAGTTAATTCTCAGGAACTACACATGGACATAAGTATCACAGGAAAGCCTAATACCTGTGGGTATTAGGATCCATAAGTGGAACCTATCACTTTCCCATCAGATGCTTGTTTTAAAAAAAGGAAATAATTCACTGCATTCGTTTTACTGGTTTGTCCAGAGATAGTTAGGCAATGTGCAACTCATCAACCCGAAGCAGCATTAAACACCCCATTTGTAGCTGAGAAGTATGCAGCTGGCTGTCATACTTGCTATCATACGACTTTGTATTCCTAATACATGTCCCTCCAACACACAGCAAAGCTCCATCATCAACCAGCTAATTCCACAACACGATGGATTTTCACAATATATAGCAAACATATACATTTGCAAATTACCAACAGCTATTCAAAAAGAATATCCTCAGAGTACTGAAAAAAAAAAAGTATTGTAAATTTACAATTGCAAGCTGCTCATTTAATGTATAAGCGAATGAGGTTTTCCCCTCAAGAGAAGTTAATGCTTATTTCGATTCATAAGGATGGTTAGTTTATAAACCAGATTGGTAAGATCTGGCCTTGTGCTTAAGGCTCTGTGCAACTCTACAACAAATATGCTTTAATAAAAAAAAAAATCCTAAAAAATTCTACACTAATTTCAATGGAAGCATTAAAGAGGAGGGGTAATAAATACATAAAAATGTCTATTCACAGAAAAGAAAAAGGCATTTTTCCAGAAAGCATACTTATAGAAATCCAAAATAAAAAAAACTTGGGGTAAAGGCTTAGCTTACCCATCTATAATATGGCACTACAAGGATCTTTGTAAATATTTCTGTTCTTTTTCCATTTCTGAAAGACCTCTTGACAACAGTGAAAACAGTTCTTGGCCTTTTCTTTCCCAACAGGCTATATCCAGAAAAACCTGACTTGTATTCTAATTCACTGAATGATTTATGATGCATCAGAACACAATGAATTTTGGGGCAGCTTAACAAACACTCCACGTCTACAAGCCCACAGCACTGAGATTTTGATCTTCTTTGAAATTTTCCCTTTAATACGAAATCATTCTAACTTAATATATTACATAATTACAAGAACTAAATCATCCATTACAACTTAGAGACCCAGCCTATTACAATGAATTATCAAATTAAATTTATGATGAACCATTCATTGGAGCTGTGAAATAAGTCTCCCCCTCAAAATTCCTACAAATAGCAAAAATGATCTGTTACTTTTGTTGTCCTCCAAATCAAGTGCTAAAACATAGAGAAAATATAAAGAATTCAAACTGGAATTCTTTCGCAATGTCAAATCTTTGCATTACCATCTGCTCCCCAAGGGGGTGGTGGGGGAGATACACACAAAATATCCTTTCGTTTCAGCATTCTTGAAACACAGACTAAAAAGAACTCAGTCTTCATTATACTGTCATATGTATGCAACAGTGAAAATACATCATGCAATTTTCATGTTTTCAGATTAAAAAGACTGTACAACACTTTTACCTTCTTTTGAAAGTCATGCATTTGAAATTAACTTTTTCTTAATAGGTACTTCTAGACCATAAGGGAGTCTTTGAAATATTCCCAATGCAACTCCAGAATTCATTACATTAAAGATATTTTTCCTTATTAATATGAGAATAAATTACATGATGAATGCTGCCATTCTTAAATGAAAAGCAGAAAACATCAAGCACTGCAATTTCCTTATTTCCAGCTTCTGAAACACTTATATCTACATTATAGAACCTTACTCATACAAACTTTCCATACTTAACACAGAGACAATGGTTTTCTTCACATCACTGCAGAAGTGTTTCAGTACAAGAGATGAGTGTGGTGTTAGTCACTTTTACAATGCATACAATAATGCTTAATATTGTAAAAAAAGGAAAATCAATAATTAAAAAGAATGAAGTCCATATTCTAAAAGCACTAGGTAAAAATGCAGTTATGTTGTATAATGAAAAAAATTAGCAAACTGTTTTCTAATTACATATCACCTGATTACCATGTTTGTTATTTATTTTCCAATAAGAAAAGATAAGGAGATATTGGGGATAATACTGAAGTACTGACTTAAGACAAAAGTTGCAATTTTTAAGTGCTATGACATGAGCCACTTAAATGCACTAAAGTAGTATTAAATCACATTATTTACATCAATTTTTTAAATTATATGTCTTAATTGCTGAAAAACTGTAGTTCATAAAGTTATCCCTCAGCTTTAAAGTAATTCATGTGTTTTGCATTTTTGATAATTTAGAAATGACAGACTTAATTAAATTACCTCTGGTATCCCCAGTTTTCTACATGCATCCAGAAAGTTTTCCACGTTTCTCCTGCATTTGGCCATACTAAGTTTAGGCTGTAAAACCAAGAAAAAATAGTTTGTGACAAAAGAAGTCAAAACCATTAATTCAGTCAATTCACCTATTGCATTATTTTTGTACTGATGCACCATTTCCATATTTCTCCTGAAAACAACGCATAAAACTCTGCTCAACTTTTTTTTCTACTACTCTAAAAACATCACGCCTACAAATACAATCTGAGGACGTAAGTTGTGGATGCCATTTGCTTTTACTTAGTTATGAAAGTCACCAGCACATTTAGATCTCTACTTATTCACATCCAGATTGTGAGGTTCTAAAACCTGCCTCTTACGACAATTTGTGATAGACGACATTGATTTTCTGGACAGCAAGTAAACTGATGAAGGATTTCAACACACATCATGGAGAACAGCCTTAACTGTAATTAACAGGCTCTTTTTAAATTTTTTACGTACTCACAAATGTATAGTAACTATACGCAATTTTAATTGTCTCTGAAGAAGAAATTTCCTATTACTGTAGAATTTCAAATACTTCCACAATTTGTCTTACTCAGGACTATTCACCAAATACTTACGGAAATACCACGTTACTAAAAAAAATGAAAATCAACTCACTATTTTACTTTCTCAATTCAAAATGTGAAATAATGGTAATTCCTGAATACCCACTTAAACCAAGGATTCATTATAGCAGCAGGGACTTCAAAGAACTAATTTTCTAGGCTAAAGTAATTTGAAAGCTGTTTTAAGCAAGAGAACATCATAAATATGAAGTTGAAACAAAATAAAAATAGATTTAAAATATTTTCATTTTGTTATAGAAAACACCAGAAGATTTTTATTTAAAAAAAACTCCCAAAACCCCCAACAACAGCACCAGCACTCCTCCACAAAAAACAGCAACAAAACTTAAGTTTTTGCCCCAGAAGTTCAAGTTTGCATACTTTGACAATGTCATATTTTTACCAAAGACAGAAGTAACTTAAAATCAAGCAACAGCAAAAGAAGCTCCACTAGACCACCTGAGAAAGTGTCTTAACAACTGTCTTCTTGGACTTTCTTATAGATTGCCTCTGAAATCCACACACTATTCTCAGAACTGAGTGTCAGGCTCATCTGTAGATGGCAAATTTTTACCAACATGTACGTTCAAAAAAAAAAAAAAAAAAAAAAAAAGAAAAAAGCAGGGGGCAGACAGTCTAAAAACATACAAAACCTCCTCAGAACCAGACTGGTATCAGAAATCTGGAACAATGATCTGTCCAAGCAAAAGACATCAAATAAACAGAGAAAACACTAAGAAAATTACATTTCAAGAAATGCACACCCACACAGATTACATTGATTTTATGTCCTGAAATCTTCAGGTCCTCAGGTTTGGCAAGCCAATATTAAATCCTATTCCATTCTGTCTGCAAGTAAAAGGAATAATTTGTACATTTAACCCAATAGGAAGAATATGCTAATAAGTGCTGTAAGTGCTTTAGTAACATGACATCTGCTAAGCCAGACATTGCTAAAGTTAACCTCAGATTTTTTTCAATCAACAAACAAGGGGCTAATTTTCCTTTAAAAAGGGTCTCCTAGAACAAGATCTTGTAATCATAGAATTTCATACTGTACTGAACAAAAAGACCATTCTAAAAAAAATCTGATCTGTTGCTAGATCAGACAGGCAGGATAATTTTACTCAGTTATAGATGTGTGTGTATATAAATATACATAAAATATATTAAAAAAATGAACATTTGAATTTTTTAATAATGTAAATGTTGCCCCTAACAGCAAAGAACATTCATTGAACAGCAACCTGTTCTATGTAACCAAATACCATTTGGCAATAAACCAGTAATTTTTCAAACATTCCTCCCCCTCACCCCAATGTAACAACATCCAACTTACTACTGCTGGTGAAGGTACATGAATACTTCCTACAGACCGAGGACGAACGTGATTTACTAAATGGCAGAGAACTACACCATCCATCAGAGCAGACCCCAAGTCTTCAGGCAAACAAATCTTTAGTCTTGTTTCAATGTTCTGCAAATGAAGAACACATGCACACTTTAATATAGAACTGGACGAAGGCAGGGGGGAAAGGGAATATATATGTTCATCTTCTCCTGTGCTGTAAGACACGTAGCCAGTTTTGGAGTTTTGGTTTACCAAGAAACTCACTTCCTTTATATAACTAATTCTTTAAAAACTGAAAACCAGCCTCCTCTACCCTATGTTGGTCACTAAATTACGTAAACTCCTTTAAAAGAAGTCGACACTTCAAATGCTGCTGTCATAATATGCATTTATTTTTATATATACATATAAAACCACATATGCATGCAGTTAGCCATGTGATTGCTCTACATGCAGCAGTCTTCTATTTATCCATCTCAAATTTTCTTTATCATCAGTACTTTGAATCGGAACTACATTGTGTTAATCACTGTACAAGCAGAGAGTAAAGGCAATCTTTCCCTTGTAGACTAAAAATTACTTATGAAGCGTTAAAGTGATCAGAAAGACAGGCAGGGCAAGGCAAAACATTCAAATTTAAAAGAGAATTTTTTGATACTTGTTAATTAAAACTGAAGTCTCACTGAAAAGAATTTGAGATTGCAAAATAAAATACTTTGAATACATTTGAGAATTTTCCAGAAAAAAACAACCGACAATAAGTTTGTCACATATAATGAGTTTCTTAAATTGCACTCCAATCTTGAAAACATTCCAACAGTACATTGAGATAACTCTTAGTTTAACTCTCAGAGACAATTACTTCCATTATCTTAAAATAGGTATTTCTTATTCCTAGTTGAACCTCTTTAATGTCATTATTCTCTATTAATATATTACCTCAATCTAAGCTGGGTGTTTTAGATGAAAATAGAATATTCTCTTTAGAATTAAAGGAGAGTGTAGATTGGAAGGGATTTCTGAAGGTCACCTGGTCTAACAAATTTAAAGCGAGATCCGAGCCTTGGTTAGTTCAGTTCTGGATATCTGCAAGGAAGGAGATCCCACAACATCTCCAGGCAACCTTGTTCAGTGTTTCACCACCCTTATTACAAAGGATTTTCTCCTTATAGCTACTTGAAATTTCCGTCTCTGCAATTTTTGCCACTACGTCTCATTCTTTCACTGTGCATCTTTGAAAAGCCTGACTTTATCTTCTCTATGACCACCCTTCAGGCCACGGAGGACAGTCCTATGATATTCTCAGCGCTCTCTTCTCCAAGCTAAAGAAATCCAGCTCTTAGCTTCTTCCTTGTACATCCTTTCTTTGGGTGCCCTCACCATAAAGTAGCCTCCACTGAACTCACTCTGGGTTTTCGTTATATTTTCCAAGTTTCTTCTTTTACTGGACACACTACTCGAGTACCCACATGTATGGTCTCACAAGTGCCAAATGGGGAGTGCATCACGTGCCCTAATACAACGTTTAGTTTTCACCTTGGATTAATTCATAACTTAGATAACATTTTTGTTGTCATACATGCACAGAAAGAGTCCATTTTGAGACTTTCTTTCCAAATCTGTCACAAACAGGTTTGTATAAATTAAGAAATTAAAAATTCCTTCAGAACACTGATTTGCCTGTTGGGAGACTATTCGGTATAGATCAGGGTGTGGGTTTTTTTATAAGCAGAGCACACCTACAACACTACTTCAATGCCAGTTCCTTTTGGAGTTCATGGTTTGAGACTAGATTTAATTAAAAATGAAGACTTCAAGAAGTGGATTAATTCTCCTTCAATTTTGTTACCATGGAAGAACTGCTCTCTTTTTTAAAAATAATCCACGCTATAGTAGCGGACAATTTGTTCCACTTAGCATGACAAAACTACTGAATGTTTACCCTTTGAGTGACAAAAATCAACCAGTATTTCTTGCTAGGCTCTATTGCTAAAGTGTAAGTGGCAAATCGCTCTGGAGATGACAACTGTCTGAAGTGACTGTGGATGTCTACAAAATCAAACGGAGGAAAAATATTTATGTGTCTGAAGGAAAAACTTTTATGAAATGGAAAAATTTCTGTAAAAACACCCCATTCTAAAGACAAGGGGGGAATGTGTAGAAGAAACAGCAATGTTCTCACAACATGCGGCTCAGGTGAAGTGGTTGAGCTAAAAGTAACTGTGCATTTAGATTTCTAAATAAGGAACCCGAGTACTGTAATAGTTGTTCCTTCTTGTTTAGTGCCCAACTTGTTTAAGGCTGCAGGTTCTGTGAAGTCCCACTAAATTCTAACATGCCATGAAACAATTCAAAAGCAAAATATCCCAGCGTAAACTTTATTAATTTGAAAAATCTCACTTCCAAACAGGGCCAATCTTCTTGCTTCTGTCACCGCTCCTTAACTCATAATCAAACTTCTCACAAGAGACAACAGAACTTTCATTTCAGGACACAATGCTTCAGGGTGAGGGCAAAGGATAGTGCATGGAGCTGAAGGTCAATAACACATTAAACCAGTGTTACTGGTAATACCTAACAGTAATATAGTGTAAAGAGAACCTTATTAAGTCTCCATGATCCTGCCTGACATGGTGAACAACCTTGTTCTACTTTTCACTGTAAGGATTAACCGAACTAATGCACGAGGCAGGAACATTGAGGACATTATTTTTAGGAACAATTACTTGGGGACTTGCTACTTACTTGTGGTAACTCTTAAAAGAAACGTAAAAAACTGCACTGATGCTGCTGACTAGACTATGCTCAGAAGAACTACATCCTAGTGCAGTTTATTCCTGCTACTTCCGTATTCTTCTCCATTATCAATAAGTCTGTCTCATTCGATTCCTGCATCTCGTCCCTTTGGCATCATCCAAGTTTAGAATTGGTAATATACTACACTCAATCAACTATGCTGAACCTTCAACAAGATCTGTTCTGTTCAAAAATTCAGCAAGACAAAATAAGATTAATCCAGACTTAAAACAGGTGAGGGCCTGAGGTAAGAGAATGAAAATCTAAAAGTCCTCATAGCTCTACATTAAACAACCCGCCTTTTAAAGACTACTTGGTAAGGAGAAAAAAAGTGAAGCCTTTTACTTTAAAATTAAATAATACAAGACATGTTACTTAAAATAAATGAATAATTTTGGAATTAGTCATTACATGAAGCTAATGACATAAGAACAAATAATCTTGTAATTCCGTTGCGATATCAAAGTCACCTACCGCACTTTCAGGATTTGCACTGCGTTTAGGAGTGCAACAATACCGTCTCTTCTGTGGGTAACACAACATCACTGGAAACCTTGACAGGTTCAGGGTCACAACACCCCTTGCGGCCCAGGTCGTAATTTTTTTTTTTTTTTTTTTTTTTTTTTGACACAAATAGGTGTCACACAAACAGTGCTACCCAGGTATTAGCTGTGTAACACAGGCTCTACGCAACCACATGCAGCAATTTTTGCATCAGGCTCTAGCTTCTGTATTCAAGACAATATATCAGGAAACCATCTTGTATATTCAGATTTTCAAGTGATGAAATATTCATTACCTTTCTAAGAAAGCTGTTTCAACCATTAGTCATCTGCTTTAAAAAAAAGTTTCTAACTTTAGCTTTTACTAATAGATTTCATTATGCCTTTTACTTGCTAGGCTGAAGACTTCTCCAGCTGTTCGAAAATAGTTTCTACACCTCTCCATCTCTTACGTGATCACTTCATCCTTTCTGATGAAATTACTTAAATTGAGAAATCGTTATTTACACCAATGCAAGGCATGCTGTTTAATTGTATGTCATTCAGGTAACTCCCATTATTATTTCCCATTTTTACAAAACCTGTCCTGAAGTACACACATCTGACCGTGATAAAGCACTTCAGGAATAATCTCATCAATGTAATTTGCAGAAGTAATATTGCCTCATTTAACCTTTTTAGTATTCTCCTACTTAGACAACTTTCCCAAAGAAAAATTTAAAAATGCACTCCATTAGCACAAATTAATTCTACCAACACTCACATACCTCACGTAGCTGTTCCACAAGCTCTCTCTCTTCTCTCATCTGCTCCATTTTCCTTCGAATTGTAAATTGTGGGTCTATTGATTCCAAATTTCTTTGTGGTCTTAAGAACACTATGATTTTAAAAAAGACAGATTTTAGTTTAAAAACTAACACCTTGATTTATTAATTTCTAAATGAAGCAAAATCCTTAGGCACTGCCTCCAGCAAAAACTGTTAGAAAACTTCTCTGTCCTCAGGAGGACAGAAAAATCTGATCTTGGATTATAGTCAGAAATGGCTATTTTTTGGATATTGCTCTGAACGGCATCCTGCGCCATCAATGGAGGGGATGATTTTTCAACCAAATCCTAATCTCAACAGGCAACTTTTGTCAGACGATTAAGCAGCGGCACAGTCCCTTAGAGATTCTGGTCTGTACAAAACTTTGCATCTAACATGGAAGGAAACACCTCTTACTCTTTTAAGTAGAACCGTCTCCTACAAGATACTGAATTGTGTAACAAGCTGTGACAACCATCTTCCTACACACGACAAACTGCTTACTAGATAAGGTTATACTAAAAAAAGAAAAACCACCCACCAAACAAAGACTGATGTAGGCAGACTTAGCCATTCAGTAAAAAATACATAAATACCTGCCTACATAAAAAAGTCATATCGCAAATGTAGCACCGCACAAACTCTTTGCAGTACTCCTTCCCACCAATCCTGCCGACTGTCTCACTTTGCCCACATATAGTTCCTTCAAATAATTACATGAAATCTCTGCACATACGCACCTCTACACTTCCTTTTTTCGTGATCAATGACCATTTTGAATGGTTCAGCAGAACAAGAAGATGTACGCTCAAAATGCAACTGTCACCTGTTTGCCACTCAAATTATAGGACAACTTGATTATTGTGGAAAATGATACTGGTTAAAAGAAAGAAGTGTTTTGTATTATTACTTTCCCGCCTCTCTCCTGAATGCAACATGAAACCCCAAAGTACCAATTAATGGGGTGGGAAGTACAAAGCCTAGAAAAGCCCATTTTTACATACAGCTACTGCTCCATCTCAGTTTTGTTAATTTAAGGCCATTAAAGAAAGAGAGGATAATTTCTGGGTCAATAAGTAGCAGGATAGAAGAGAGGAGCCTTTTATTTACTAAAAGGCACATCAGAAAATTAGAAGCGTATGAATTGCCAATAGCACCTACTTGAGGAGTAAAAAAAGATGAATTACACTTGACTGTAGGAAAGGTACACAGAGGTGTAATCACAGTAATTCTGATGTTCCATTAAAAATTGTGGCACATCAGTCATTTTATTTAGGTTGTGATTTGGGTAGTAGGCTGAATTTTAAAAATCAGTCCTCAAAATATCTAAGAAAATAAAACATTGAACCCTCGGTAAAAGGAAATTTCATCTACATTCTGACCAAAAGTAAACTGTTAATGAAGCCCCCAAATCAGTTCAGGGTCAACATACAAAATTGCACCCTCTGACATCTAGGGCTCAGATAAACAAGACAAAGTTTCTGCACAAGAAATACTTTGAAATCTCAGACAAGTCTGGTCACCAGGAATCTCACCTAGCTGTACGCAGGTTGGTTAAGTAACAAAATTAATAATCTAAGCTACCTCTCCAGCCAAAGGGACAGACAGAGACACCACCTATGGCAGTTCAGCCAACAAGCAGTAGTTCTTTCCCTTATTTACTGAAAAAGGAGCTTAAGGCAAAAAACTCCTTGCATATCCTTAGGCTACTTACGTGAGGAATCAAGGTAGAATAAACTATGGCCAGTTACCAGACTTGCTTCCTTCCACTACTTGACTCACACAGTCGTAGTTTTAACTTTTCACAGGCAACTGAAATTTGCTACGCTGCTGTTAAATCAGTATTTCAGGAAATGCCCTATTAAAGGCTGTTTGTTTAAACAAAGCTGCTTTTAAATATAACACCTAAATATTACAGTTTTATGTTAGCAAACTCTATCCTTTTTAACATCGTCAGAAATCCCACAGGCAGAGCGTCCCGTAGAGAACGTGCAGGATGGAGAACTGCAGCCAGCAGCTGTAGCTCCGTTCCCTTCTCCGGGTGGGCTACACAGGTTCACCCGTGTCACCGCGCAGAAGGATCTACACGCACACAGCATAAATAAAACCATTCACTATGCTGACCTCCCACACGTAACGTGAGAGTAGCAGAGCCATGCCTTCAGAGGCAATAGGTCCACAGCTGTATCGACATTAAAACTTTGCCTTTGCGGAAGGTAAACTGCAAGCTCAGAATAGAACTCGATTTCCAAAGCACAGTGTATCAACAGATCCGCACTTCTCAATATTTTGTAGAGAGGCATATGTACACCATGACCGCGCATAGCCAAACATACAAAGGTTCTTATAGCTGTAACTGCTGCTGTTACAAAGTGTAACAGTCCATATACCTGATTTAACTACGCCGTTTCAAAAGCATTACCTACTGATTTAGAGAATTTTAAACCCATTAATACATTGGTAAATTTCCAATGAAAGCAATTATATATGGTGAAAATTAAACAATTAGAAATATCTAAAACGTAATTTAATAATTCATACAGTAAATCGTATAGTTTAGGACAGCTACAACAACAAGAAAAAAAAAAATCAAGTCCCAAGTTTTCAAAGTGCAGAAATCTTACCCAGGACTTCTATTAAACTCTGGAATTGTACTGAATTAAAATTTCTGCATTAGCAACTCTGTACAATTTATTGGAGACTGCTCCTAAATTTTTTATGAGGTGAAATAAAAATCTCCTATCACATTATTAAAAAACTGTAGTTGCAATTTCTAAGATTTTCATTTTAGAAATAGTTCATTGTACAACTCTAACAAATGATTTTTGCTGCTTCTCACAGATGAAATACCTACATAAAACCATGCTTGAAGAGTAATACCATATTGAAATGGTATTTAAATGCCACTGTAGCTTTACTGGCAGCAGCAACATTTCAAACTATTCTCTACAAAAGCATTAGTTCATATTTATGTTCAATCTTGCAAGCATCAGAGTTTTATTATGGACTTTGTTCAGTTTGGCCACAGCTCTCTTTGTTTAGGCCTTTGCCAAGTCAATATGAATGTCCCAAGACCTACTTCCTTCCAATTTCAGACTACAAACATCTGTTAATGAAAAGTAAATATCAACATTACTTATTCAATTCCATTCATGAATGAGACCTACATTCCACCAGGAGGAAAAAGGAAAACTAATCTCAAGGCAGTAGGAAACTACAATTAAAAGTTTCTAAATGAAAGAAAGTAAGTTTAGTTGATTAAAAAAACAAAACGACCTCCACACATTCAAAAGCATTAGTTATAAAAGCTTCAATTATATACTGAATTTAAAGAAAAAAGTTCTAATACGGGAAGTTTGGGCAGTCCTGAGTATTGCTTGCTTCTCTGCATTACATACGTCTTTCAGCAAGGGGAGCCCATACCTCACAGCGATGAAGGTCTAATTCTGACTCCTTCCAAGAGCCAGTTTCTGGTTTTTGAACCCATGCTCAACCAAGGTTATTATGTAATGCTTGTTCCAGTAATTTTTTTAAAAAGTATTTTGTACAAGTTTCAGCAAGTTAGATGGGTAATAGTTAATAACACAATATGTATTTGACATACCATAGTCAAGGACAAACTTATTTGTGAAAATTTTCATTTTTGTACAGAGTTACTGAGTTACAATGCACATAACTGCACTACTTATAGCACATCAAGGAATTTAGTGTCCTGAGTACTTCATTCGACAACATTATCCTTCAGGTAAACCACAAAATTATTTAACCTGACTCTAAAAATAATAGACAAAAAGAAGGCTGGACTAATCACAGGCAGAGATGAAGTCAGGCTAAATGTTCATAGTTAGATTTCTCTTTGATTGATTTATTCAGTCCCAACTGAAGTAACAGCAAAGTTATTACGGAGTCATTTGCTAAACCAAAGCCTCCACAATGGTATGCGCGCTGGTCTTGGGAGACCTGTCTGCTCCAAGCCTTATAACCTCCCAAAAATTCTGGACTTCACCTGCTCTATTACTTTTGCCAGGCGGTTACATTATAGAAGATATGAAGTATTAAGATACTACATTGATGCATGGCATTTCTATATCAAAGGCTACACCTATACTAGCAAGCTATACGACGCTGGCGCACGGACCCTCAGCACTGGCCTGCACACATCCATCCCGCTAACGTTGCTGCTCCCCGGCACAGTTTTGGTCTGTGCAAACCCACCTCTCTTCTACGCAACGTCTTGGTATAGCTCGAGGGATAGCACAGGTGAAGGACATTCCCCAAAGGCAGCTTAAATGCAGCCATCCTGTTCTGGACAGTAAGAGTGCTTTGGTGTGGATTTGAACCATGCTGTGCCCACTAACCTCAGTGCCAGAGAACGGTCTCTGGTCCATTTTACTTCCTACCAGAGGAAGAGAACACCTTAAATAACAGACTTAGACCCAGATAACAAACTCTAAACAGAAAGGCAACAGTCCTGGTTAAGAAAAAAACAAAAAACAATAGTTGTAAAAGCAGTTTTCTGTTGTAACAGCCCAAGGTAATGAACACTGATACTTGCATTTGGCTTAAGATTTGAATGACATGAGACCTCTATCTGTTCCAAATGCACAAGCACACACTAGTCTATACTGCTCATTTCATTTAGAAGAGTAAAACAGTAACAAGTCTAGATTAACAAAGATCAAATTCTGCACTGCTGGAAGTACCTCTAGCTTTCCCTTTTCTCTGTCAGAATATTCATCAGCGAATCATCAAGTTAGTTTCATACAATCATGAACTAAATTTAGTTTTTCAACTTACCTTTACCACAATTCTTATATTCCATAAACATTTCCTTTATGGAGCTGATTCCTTACATATGCTGTCTTCTATGGTTTTACAATCAAGAATAGCGAGTATTATCAAGTAATGAACTGAATGTGGGCATTCTAAACTACATGTTGGCTTTATCATTCAAGATTTGTGGTCTTAGTTTCAATCTGATACTTCTGACAGCTTCATGGCCTTCCAACACCTAAACACCCTTCTAATTTAGAGCAACTGGAAGAACAACAGACCTACTTTAAAAAAATAC